ACAAATGTGAATTGGAGGAAGAGGGGGTGAAGAGGAAGGGGGTTGGGGGAGGGACGGCGTCGGAAAAGTCAGGTGTTGAATTACAGGTGAAAATGTAGATTCTATGTAGATTCTATAGGTTACAAATGTGTGGTTACAATCCCACAATTACACCGCGACGCACCTTGCCCTGCATGATGTTTCGCGCGAACGCGAAGTAGGCCATGTCGGGGCGACCCCACGGGCCGTACACCGTGAAGAACCGGAGTGCTGTAATCGAGAGACCGTAGATGTGATTATACGTGTGCCCAAGCACCTCGTCGGCTTTCTGCGAGACCCACGGCGGAGGAAACGGAGGTATTATTAGAAAGAGTTTCAGAGACGACGTTAACTGCACAGGCATATTTCCTTGATTCAGCCTTGCATTGATTATTATTTTTTTTACCTTGGTAGCAGCGTACAGGCTCGCAGGACGGTCCGTGCGGTCGTCCTCCGAAAAGGGCACCTTCGAATTCAGCCCGTACACGCTGCTGGACGACGCGTACACTATAGCGGGGGCCGGATCGACACTCTATCGGGGACGAATGGAAAGCAAAGAGGGGAGGGGATGGAAAGAGGGTCGGAAAGGAAAATGATAGGTGAGATCGAGTCGCGTCGTGGGACACGGTACATGGGAAAAAAATGCAGGTGCAAACAAGCGAACGGCGAAAAATCGCAGGTTAATGTTACCTTGGCCTGCTCGAGAAGCGTGACGAAACCGGCGACGTTGCTGTGGACGTACGCGAGAGGATTGACAACGGCGTAACGAACACCAGCTTGCGCCGCGAGCTGCAGCACGTGCGTGAATTTCACGAGCTCGAACAGCTTCGCGAGTAACGCCGCGTCGTTAATGTCGCCATCGACGATGAATCTGTTCATACGCAATGGACAGGCCAGCTGAGGTAAGAGTAAGGAACACAACAAAATCGCAGTGAACCGGACAATAATCCGGGAAGCATATCAAACTTGCAGCAGTTACCGCTATGCTATTCACCAAAGCCACTGCACCGCCAATACTTACACTCCCTTGCTTTCGAGTCGTTGCTGCCGAGCTCGCTTGAGCGCGGGCGGGTAGTAGTCATTAAAATTATCAATTCCCACCACGCCATCGCCGCGTTCCTTTAGCGCGAGAGACGTATGCGAACCAACGAAGCCAGCTGCACCCGTTACCAGCACAACCATTCCGCCAGCCCTCGGTGTTGCCGACAACCGCACCTGGTCTTCCCAAGCCGCGCTTCCCCACGTCGGAAGCTCTGCATCCAGCATCCCCGCCGTTTGCGGCGGCGAACGCGTCAGTATGCCGATGGCCCTGAAATTGTGGGGATACGGCACAAGGGATGGAGCGCAACGGTAAGACATAACAGAGGGTTGCCAGCCTAGATGGGAAAAAGGGGCACTGGAATTCGTGGTATCGGTTGAGTCGAAACGAGGCGATGCAGTGCCAAGGCTTGAGCCTGCTGCACAAGGAACCAGCACGACTCAAGTGCACTCCACAGCTGTCCGACTCCAAACCAGCAAAGCCGAATACCGTTTTTTCCCAGATTGGTTTGATGAACGAAAAAAAAAGGTAAAAATAAACAATGTCGTACAGCTTATGTGCTGTCTTCGTGATTCGGACGAGATCGTTGCGTGCGATGCGCGCTCAGATAACAATGGCGAGCAGACTGGGACCGACGCCAGCTGCATGGTTTAAGTAGCTGTTGAGTTTTTCAGGGCGTGAAGCGTTTTGCAATTGATGTCACTTGGCGTTTTCACGCAGGGGTACGAAATCACGAGATCCTTACATCACGAAAACGAAGAGGCTGAGACACGACGCTTGCAACCACCACATCGTTCGAGCGGACCGCTGCACGAACGAGTTGCTCCGAAGCTTCTCGAACTCATCTCCGCTGGACCCGCCGCCCTTAAGCCCGCCGGCCGTTGGCAGCAGCTTAGCGAGAACCGGCGTCGGACTGCCGACCATGGCGCCGGGTTGAGAGCTCCCGCCGCTACAGCGGCCACAGCTGCTACAGCTGCAGCAGATGCCTCCACTGCACTTCACTCTGTTGAGCGTCGATCCACTCTTAACTCTAGGAAGCGCCAGCGGCAAAACTGACCGAGGTAAGGACTACAGGGTGAGTACTAAGAGCTGGCTTGTCTCGTATGCCTGACACATCAGACCATGTCGAGAAGAGAAAATGAAATGGTGGTTGGCAAACAGAGAACCTCAAAACCCTCTATGGGGAATGAAGGCCAGAGGTTATTGGGGTGGTTCTGAATCTTTGAACTAACGTTTTCTCGAAAAATTACGATGAACAGAACTGAGGCGAGGGAGAATCCCTTAGGAACCAAGAGTGCGACGCAATGAGGTTGTGCTGCCCAGGCCCTAGCAATGGCGATGAGCTAGGTGGATAGTGCTGTGGAGGGAGCACTATGTTTGTTCCTGCCTGCTTTTTGGGAGGAGAAAGGTGGGTGGCAGGGAGAGAAACAAGTCCAAGTTTACAGCAACCCGTTTTTCTGTCGTGTGCATTGCAAGGGGCCTGAGCTGGGCTGGGCTGGGTGTTCTTGTGACGGGACAAACGGAAGGGACGTGATCGCGACTCCAGTCGGGAATTGCAATGCTTTGCGGGGCGAAAAGGCCGAGGGGCGAGTCAAGTCGAATTGATCAAAACGAAATTCTCCACGCGCGAAAGGGTGCGGCGCGCGGGCTGGCTTCGGTTGGCGAAGGTGGCACAAAGGCGAAGCGGCTTGTGTTGAAAATCTCCCCTCGACAAATTCCTCCTTCCCCGTTCGCGCCTTGTCGCCCCGAAACCATCGGTAACTGCGTGGCGAGGGTGCTGCTGCTGTGAAGGCAATGTATTCTTGCACTGCGGAGCCTCGGGCTTCATGTTTGGGGTGGGTCTCAAGTAGTTTATTTGTCCATTTCAGTGTTTTCATACGGTACACAGTGGTTTTGTGGGAGGTTTTGACTGCCGAACCTCTCTCAAAATTTCCCTAACAGCAGTAATTCCCAAAGCCACAGCTTCGTACGCGAACGGATATCCCGAACCCAAAGCAATTTTGACTCGATCATTATCAGCCGTCCATTTGTATCCGATTGACGAACCCAGCGTGGGCTCCATTCTTCAGTTATAAATTTCATGTCATAGCGTGATTGCCGCTGGGGTAGACTGCTGGTATGGGGCACCCGAGACTGATTCTTGTCTTAACCATTGGCCGCCGTGTCCGTAGCTCATTGGTCTACTTCGAGATCAAACCTAACAGCTTGCCAGCAGCCACAAAGACGAGCCGAGCCTACCAGTGGGATGAGACGTGACGATCTAGGCCTGGCAGCATACCGTACCTCGGTGCCTTCTTGGGTTCGGCTGTGTGGCGGAACGTGCCACAACAACTTCTTCGCTGCAAGGAGCTTCTTTTTCTTCCGACGTGGTAAGTGTAGGTGATTTACATGTTGATCATAAATGTAGGTGTTGGTGATTATTCATGTATGTATGTTTACATACGGTATCGTCTGCACAGTTGTTCTCAAACTTATACAGTAAAACGTCGTTACTGTTTGTCACATGAAGGTCGAATTGCTGCCTCACATTTTTGTCCCCCTTCCACACCCTGACTTTCTGACACGCGCCAAATCTCATATCCCGCCTTCTTCCCTCCATTTCCCCCCCTTCCAAACTAGGGAAACCCAGGCGACAGTTTGCCCTGTTTGACAAAAACCGTTCACACAAGCCCGTGTGACGGAGGACTGAAGAACCGCAAACAAGCGTGGGCAACTCGAGATTCCAACTTTTCGACACCAACTCCAACTCAACCCTTCACACTGTTTCTCAAAACCTCTTAGAATGCACAGAACCTCACTGAACCGTATTAGTTCAACACACACCCAAGGAAGTACATAAGCTTCTAGGTAGTTGATTCCTGTGATGACAGTCATTGTTGCGAGTGGATTTTGATTCGTCGCCCGCCAAGGACCGCATTAGCGTCCTAGATAGCTAGGACCGTGCTGACGGCTAGTGTGCTACCTTCAGTTTCTGCAGTCTGTTAGCCCACGGTGTTGCTCCTGCCAGCTACGAATTTACCTCAAGTTGTAGATTTACAAGCATTACTAAACTAGTTTTTTCGGTTGCTGCTCTCCGAGAAGCTTCAGGAAGAAAGCCGAGTGATTTTTCGTTCCTGCTAAGCCGGATTCAATCTCAAAAAACTTTTCTTAGAAATGGTAAAGCACCTCAGTCGGCATGCAACCTTTTTTTGAGTATCTTGAATTCAGTATCGACAGTCCTTTTCTTGCAGCTAAACATTGTTTCCTGCCCCGCTCCCGTCTCCTCGCTTCCCCCAGGCCGTGGTTCTCCCTGTAGGATCCAACGAGAATTTGCCGCCAAAGGTGGTTCGGGTGATAGTCAAAGAGCTTCGGTCCCTCCAAGACTCGCCTCCAGAAGGCATACGCGTGCTTCTGAATGATGACAACATCTCAACCGTCCATGCGGAGATTGAAGGACCAGGTGAGACGACAAATCTCATACAGCTGAACCTAGAACTTTTATCCACAAACTGAATTGTTTATAACTCTCCGTCCCAGAGCGTTTTGCGCACATTCAGTAAATTAGTTATACAGCCTTTTTACTTTGCATTCTAAGAGTTTATCTTTTGTCTTTTTGTGACTTCGCCTCCAGTCGGCACACCTTACGAAGGCGGAGCATTTCGCATGAAGCTCGTGTTGGGTCCCGAATTTCCAAACGCTCCACCAAAGGGATTCTTTGTGACTCGGATATTCCACCCGAACGTGGCCAAGAATGGAGAAATCTGTGTGAACATCCTGAAGAAGGACTGGAAGCCATGCCTTGGATTGCGGCACGTACTCATTGTACGGCATATCTCGCCCATAAAACGTCTTACTATCCTCACTAAACGTTTTTGTCTATTACTTCCCATGTTTCTATGCTCTCGCACACCTTAATCTCTGAGGTCACTACAACTGCTGTGTACGCACTACTAACCATGTTTCTATGCTCTCGCACTCCTTAATCTCTGAGGTCACTACCTCATCAACATTCCATCGCTGTTGCTTCTTGCAGGTTGTTCGGTGCTTGCTCATTGAGCCTTATCCGGAGTCAGCTCTTAACGAGGATGCAGGCAAGCTTCTTCTCGAGGACTATGAGGCCTACGCGAAACATGCTCGCCTGTTTACGTCCATCCATGCCCCATCTTCAGCAGCAGCAGGTGTCAGCATGAGCCGCTCCAAGTCCATGCCGCAGCATGCCGCTTCCCAACCAGGTCAACAAAGTCAACCAGGTCAACACCCGTCATGCCCCCACCACACGCTTCGCCAGAGCGTCTCTGCTTCAGACCACCTCGCTCCTGGCGCTGCTTCTGCTGCCGCTGCCGCTGCCGCCGCTGCTGTTGCAGAAATGGCAGGTTCCACAGCTGCTGCTGCTGCTGCTGCTGTCTCTGTGTCTCCGTCTGCCCTTGCTGCCGGTGGTGCTGGTGGTGGGAGTGCTCCTCTTGCTCCCAACCGCTCTATTGCCAATGCTGATGTGCAGAGGGAGGAGGGTGTGGGTGTTGCAGCTGGGGGGTCAACCGGGGGCCTGCGCAGTGCAGGCAGTAAGGGGGAGAATGGAGCGAGAGGAGGGCATGAGAAGAAAAAGGTGGATGCGAGGAAAAAGAGCCTTCGGAGATTGTAGGGAATGGAGGTTGGAGAGTGGCGGTGTGGCTGCATGTGGCTCGAGGGAAGGGTCTTCAAGGACACAACTGATTGTTGAAGTCATGAGTTTGGTCGGCACGGTATTGTTCCTCATATATTTCGTGTGAGAGCACGACCATAGGTCCAAGTGATTCAAGTTTATGCTAGGAGTGCTGTTCCTTGACAATGCAAGGGACAGTCTTTGGTTTGGGGATATGAGTTGTTCTGAACTGGGATTGGCCTCAACTGGAAATCCTAGTGAGCACACTTGTATTTCCATGGCAACCACTAAAGTTCCATAATCCCAACTCTGACTTCAACCTTGCCAAGTCTGAACCCCAAGTTCTCTCCCGGGTACCTGCCCATGCAAGTAAGGGCGTGTTACATTTTTTACTTCAGCCCGTCCGGACAGGCAGTCGTCCGGACTTTTGTGTGGTTACCCTTCTCGTTGTGCTTCGTGAATTGCATCGTTAGACCTCTTGCGATGTCGTTAACGATCGGACCGGTGATGGAACATTTTGCGCGAATTGCCTTCCCAAATCGACCAGACGATTACAGTTCGATTAGTGGACGGACGTAGCAGTAACGCAAATTCATTGGTCGACGATTCAAGTCTTCAGGTCGCTTTGGTGTTACCTTTATCGTAATCTGTTCGTGATCGTGGTTACAACCTCGCAAACATTCGAATTTTCGTCAAGTTGAAAATGTTTCATCTACAACGTCGGACGAGGTTTAATCCGAACGCTGGACTCGTACTGCCCGAGATTCGGAGTCTGAACCGTTCTCGGACGGCTGTCCGGACTTTAGCTAATTTAAAAAATTTACACGCCCTAAATTACTCATTTTTGTTCTTGTAATGCAAGTCATAACAATTGGCATCTGAGACCGAAGTTGTATCTGTAACTTGCAGTATCGCCTGAATCACACCCCTTCAATTCACGAGTGGTAAAGAATTTGAGCAGCATCGTTACGGCGGGAAACACACAACCAGGTTTCTATGTGGCACATCACGCGCTTCGTAACCATGTCGTTTCAGCTTCCACGCGCTCACTGCCCAGCTGGCATCGCGAAAATAACGACGGCTGCTACTCCTTCTCTGTCCCATCATTACTCGACGCTCCGACAATCCTCCCCGCGCCGCTCGCCAGCTTCCCTCCCCTCCGCTTCCCCCGGGCTCTCCGCGCGTGCCCGCCACGCCCCCTCTCCGACCACCGCGCGCCGCGCCGCGCTCCCATCCCTCACAGCAGCGTGGTGCAGAAGCACCAGAGTCAGCGCCGTTACAATCACCGAGGAGCGGATCGCGTGTGATTATAACGAGGTGGAGAAACAGACGCAGCTGTTGAGAATTCTCGAGCGTGAAAACGAGCGCGACAGACGGACGCAGCTGCCGCCCGTGGAAACAGCTTCTCCGCAAAGCATCTCTAGTACCGCTCCGCCACGGCAAAGCAGGGAAGCAGTGTGCCCTGTCACGCCCCCGCAGGCACGCTGGCTCTCTCCCGCGCTCGCAGCAGCAGTAGTCGCCTGCGTCCTCCTCCCGCTGCCCCTCCCCCTCCCTCCGCAGCACACTCCACCCGCGATGGAGCAAGGCAGGGCAGCAGGCAGCAGATCGCTGGGCAGTGCGTGGGGCAGGTCGTGGGGCAGTGCGTGGAACAGTGCACAGGCCATGCCAGCGCCGTTCAGTGGGGCCTCTGCGCCTCTGCCCTCTGAGACGTTCGACAACGTGCCCCAGTCGCTCTCAGGTGGGCTTTCAGGTGCCCCGGTCGCTCTCAGGTGGGCTCTCAGGTGCCCCAGTCGCTCTCAGGTGCGCCTCAGGTGCCTCAGTCGCTCTCAGGTGGGCTCTCAGGTGGCCCATTCGCTCTCAGGTACGCCCCCAGGTGGCCCAGTCACTCTCAGGTGCGCTCTATGGTGCCACAGTCACTCTCAGGTGTCCTCTAAGGTGCCACAGTCACTCTCAGGTGTGCTGTCAGGTACCCCAGTCGCTCTTAGGTGTGCTGTCAGGTGCCCCAGTCGCTCTCAGGTGTGCTGTCAGGTGCCCCAGTCGCTCTCAGGTGCGCTCTCAGGTTTTCCCAGTCGCTCTCACGTTCGCCAAAGGGGGCCTTAGTCGCCCGCAAGTGCGCTGTCAGGTTGTCAGGTGCTTTCAGGTCCTCTGTCGGGTGTTTTTTCAGGTGATTTGTCAGGTGTCCACGAAATTTCGTTTCCATTTCTCCTCTGTTGGCCTGTTGTCTTTCTGCTCTCCTGCCCTATTTGCTTCCCTATTTGACTCTCAGCCAATCAATTGTCGATTCTTGTGTGAAGCATCATATTCATATACATATATGCCCGTTCTCCTCGTTACATAGACAGGGGGTAACATGAAATTACAGCGGGTTCAGAAGCCTCAAGTCAGCGGCAGCGGAAAAGTTTCTATCCGCGCAAGTGGTGGGCTATGCGAGCATTCACGCTCCTCCTTTTATTCAGTCTCCCTCGTCTCCATTCTCTCGGTCCACCTGCATTTCGCCCCTATGCTCTCCCCACCATCAGAGGATGACAGGAAGCCGCGGCGGATTCAGAAGCCCAAGACACCAGCAGCAGAGAAGTGTTTGCGCAAGTGTGTGGGCACGTGCATAAGAGGAGGGGCAGGAGCACCTGGGGAAGGGCCCATCAACGTGGAGAGGTGAGGCTGTTTGCCATGCCTCAAGTGTGTGGGCACATGCATTAGAGGAGGGGTGGGCACACCTGGGGAAGGGCCCATCAACGTGGAGAGGTGAGGGTGTTGGCATGCGTGAATGGCGTCACATGGTGGTTTTCTTGTATTCCACTAGGTATTTCATTACTGTGCTGAGCACGTGAAGCCGATGTTTCCGGGCAGTTTTCTTTGTTCTTTCTTTCCATTTCTTTCGAAGCTTGATGCTATGTGCTTCAGCACTGCCCTTTCTCATTTCCAGTAGAATTTAACAAAGTTTTGTGAACACCTTCCTGCCTCCCCTCTTTCAGGCCTATTGTGGTTTTCAAATCCGAATTCAGATCAAGACAATATTGGTGAGTGGGACTTTGGAGAATGAAAAGTATTTGCCTGAAACTAAAAGTTCCACAAACCCTGAATGTTTGTGAACAGTGGCATATCCTGTATTCCCCTAATACCTGTGTGTGTGGTGGTGGGGGGGGGGGGGCAGGGGGGGCGGAGGTGGTGTGGTGTTTGTTTGTTTCTCATTTTGCGTGTTTCTATCTCCACTAATTCTTTCTACATTTCGCTCCTCCCGTGCTGTTGGCTGCAGCCTAGTGGAATGTAGTGAGATCTGCAACCTATTGTCAGATGCAAAGAGCAAGCCATGATGCCATCTAGGTATTTATTACCGGTAATGCAAGCAAAAAAATTGAATGACGTACGTAACTGTTCAGGGAATTGGAATTGTGTAAATGTGAATGACCTGAGTTTCAACAAGCACTTTCCTTGGGAAGGAACTAGTTGGGAATAGTCAAAGCTGGGGTAATAATTTCAACATTAAGTTACTGTACATGGAGTGGGGGTGATGACGAGTACAGGTGATGCCCACCCCATCCCCGCGAATTTGCTCTGCACCGGATGGAAACGCTGCACCCGAGGTTTTTTCCCCAGCCTGTTGCACCCACGGTACAAGCGCGTCGCGTGGTTATGAACCAATTGCAACGAACAGACCGAAGTCAAACTGAAGAGACTGAAGTCAAAATGTCAACGGATAAGGTTACTGATCCTTTATATAAGCACGTGCGAATCCTTTTTAGCTAGCTGCAAATTGACGAAACTTATGCGAAATGCATGATACAGCTTATACGCCCCGTTCACAAGGCTACCGGGAGGGGCTCAATCAGGCATCAGTTTGTACGGCCAATGCAAGTAGGAACAAGATTCGACGTTTACGTCATAAGGGTTGCGTAGGGTTATATTTCTCGTATATGAAACATACATATAATGTATCATACTTCTGGAAATCAATTATCAATGTCATATCTGACACACCCCCATAGCCAAAGTGGGGTGTAATCAGCACAATGAGCAAGCAGGCATAGAGAAGGAGTTCACAATAACGAGCAAAGCTAGAGTTAATCACAGCGGGCAAGTAAGGAGGAGGAGGAACTGTGGAGGGAGAGAAGATGGGAGGCAACGACTGAAGCTGCAGAGGCACGGACACAGGAGCGGCTGACACAGTGGCTACCGAAGCAAGGGCGACGGACTACTGGAGTAACTGGCTCCGCGGCTATAGACGAGCGGCAGGAGCAACGGACCCACTGGCGACTGGTGCAACAGGCTCACTGGCTACCGAAGCAAGGGCGAAGGACTACAAGCGCTGCAGGCGACACGACAGCTACCTTCACAGAACCTCCTCCAGCTGCCCCACACCTCTCGACACACACCCCCTGCTCAAACCCTAGTTCCACTCCCACAGCACCCCCCTTTCGCACACCCCCTGCTGCACCCTAGGTTCACTCACACCCCACCCCCTAGCACCACTCTGTCGACTCCCACACACCCACCCCCCTCAGCGGTAGCTGCAGCAGTGGGAGACAGAGGAGGAGGAGGAGCAGGGAAGACCACACACCTGCCACCCGCTACACGCCACCCCCAAACCCTAACACAGGGCAGGGCCGGGCGACGGGTAGGGAGGTTACGGGGGGGGGGGGGAACGCGCGTCCTCCCAGGGCGCCAAAACAAGCGGCAGAAGGGGCGACGCTCGCCCCCCCCCCCCCCCACCAGGTCGCGGCCCCCCAGGGAGCCGCGACGGGCGACGGGAAAAGAGGGGGGGGCGGTGCACGTGCCCCCGGTGCGCCGCGACAGGCGACGGAACATGGCCGAGGCGGGGCTGGGGCAGGGTCGAGGCAGGGCCGAAAGAGGCGGCGACGGGGCCGCAAGGGGCGGCGACGGGGCCGCTGGAGGCGGCGACGGGGACGATAGGGGCGGCGACGGGGCCGCGAGGGGCCTGGAAGGGCGGCGACAGGCCGCTAGGGGCGGCGACGGGGCCGCGAAGGGGCCGCGAGGGGCCTGAAAGGTCGGCGACGGGGCCGCGAAGGGGCCGCGAGGGGGCCTGGAAGGGCGGCGGCGGGCCGCTAGGGGCGGCGACGGGGCCGCGAAGGGGCCGCGAGGGGCCTGAAAGGTCAGCGACGGGGCCGCGAAGGGGCCGCGAGGGGCCTGGAAGGGCGGCGACGGGCTGCTAGGGGCGGCGACGGGGCCGCGAAGGGGCCGCGAGGGGCCTGAAAGGTCGGCGACGGGGCCTTGAAGGGGCCGTGAGGGGGTATGGAAGGGCGGCGACGGGCCGCAGGGGCGGCGACGGGGCCGCGAAGGGGTTTAGGTGGGGCGTGCAGCACACAGAGTAGCAGCGGAAGCAGTTAGATGGGCCCACACGCCAGGAGCGAAGATGCTCTGATAGCATGTGAAGAATGAGGAATGAAGAAGAGAGGATTGAACTAGAAGCAGTTAGTATACATATAGGAAACCCTAATGTTGAGATAGAGGCGAGGAATGGGTGCACTATGAAATGAAACAAGTACAAGTACCAACCCTAATTGGGTTGTACCCCCTATGGGCTACCCCACTACAGCCTAAATATATGCATCAGTAATATAATCATCTGACACACCCCCATAGGCAAAGTGGGGGAGAGCAAGGGGTCATAAGACCAGTCAAGCAAAGCAAAGCAAAGCAAGCTTAGGGTGGATCTCAAGGATACCACACAAATTCCGAGCACAAGGTCAAGGCCACAAGGCCAGTTCACATGCAGCAGAGCATATATATATAACAGTGCTAAACAAGCAAGAGCAAGGATATATATATGCAGCAGTACAAGCAAGGTCAAGAGGTAAGCAAGTGAGGCCCAGTGGGCACAAGGCCTAGCACAGTGCAAAAGCGCTGATGGTCACGAGGCGGAAGTGCCTTGGTGAACACATCAGCAGTGTTGGCCTCAGTGGCAACGAAACGCAGGCAAAGCTGACCACGCTGCTGCAGCTCTCGAGCAAGGAAGTAGCGCAGAGCAATGTGCTTTGTCCTATGCTCCAGTCTGTGCTCCTGACACAAGGAAATGGTTGCCTTGTTGTCGACGTACAGCACTGGAGGAGAACAAGGCCGCTCTCCAAGGTCAGTCAGCAGGTAGGTGAGCCAGCGAAGCTCCTGGGCAGCCATGGCCGTGGCGTAGATCTCAGCCTCACAACTGGAGCTGAGAACCGAAGAAGAGCGAGTAGAGCGCCAAGAGACAGAGCCAGAGCCAAGACTGAAGGTGTAACCCTGAGACGACCTCTGAGTAGCCTGGTTGTCAGCCCAAGAAGCGTCTGAGTGCCCAGTGAGCACAGGCCGCTCACGCCCTCCAAGCACTAGCCCCATGCCCGACGTACTCCACAAGTAGCGCAACACCCTCTTAGCTGCATCCATGTGCTCCTTCCGGTGACGGCCGGGAGCGACATAGCGTGCTAAGATGCTGAGAGGGTATGCGAGGTCAGGTCGAGTGCAGGTCATCAGGTACATGAGGCAGCCCACAAGCTCTCGATACGGACCACTCGACTCTACGGACTCATCCGAAGGCAGAGCTGAGAGCGAGTGTCCCGTAGGCAGAGGAGTGGACTGAGGCGAGGAGTACGTGAAGCCGAAGCGCTGAAGGACCTGCTGCACCATGTGTGACTGAGTCAGGGTAATGGTGCGGCGTGCTCTGTCCCGGGTGATCCGCAAGCCAAGATAGCTTGTCAGTTCACCCAGGTCTGTGCACGTGTGTCTCTTCTGCAGCTCGGACTTCACGTGGGCGAGTGCGGTAGTGTCCGCAGTGGCAAAGACCAAGTCGTCGACGTACACGAGGATGTAGAAAGGCGGCAGTGAGGTGTCGGTGCGCAGAAACAGCGACGGGTCAGCAGTAGAAGGAGCAAACCCAAGAGCCGCAAGTGTAGTCCTCAGTGTGTCGTGCCACTCACGCGGCGCCTGGCGGAGACCGTAGACTGGTCGCCGGAGGCTCCACTGGGTACCAGGAGGGAAAGACCTAGTGAAGCCAGGAGAGCGGCGCAGCCAGATCTCCTCGTGCAGGCGGCCCTGCAGGAAAGCAGTGCTGAAGTCAAGAGAGTGTAGCTCGTAGTCACGCTGAGCAGCGACGTGCAGTAGAACCCGAAGAGTGGTCATCTTCGGGGTCGGGGAGAAGGTCTGAAAGAAGTCAACTCCCTGTCGCTGACTGAAGCCACGAGCCACGTAGCGCGCCTTGAAGACAGGCGGAGAGCCCGGCGGCTGCTTCACCTTGAAGATCCACATGCCACTGACAATGTTCGCCCCAGGAGGGGGAACAGCGTCAACGTAGGTGCCTGTGGACTTCCAGGAAGCCATCTCTGCGTCCATGGCTGACTGCCACTGAGAGGAGTAGGGACCGGCCATCGCCTCTGCGTAAGAGCGTGGGGTCGGGATGTCTAGAGCATCCGGGTCTCCCTCAGGGGCAAGAAGCATGGGCACGAGATGGGGCAAAGCGGCGGCAAAGCACTGGAACTCTTCCTGCCTGTCCTCAAGGACGTCCGTGCCAAGAGCACAGTCACCCCCGACGGACGGAGGACAGGCAGACGCAGACGCAGCAGACGCAGACTCTGCAGACTCAGCAACAAGACTGGCAGCGTAATCCAGACGACACGCAGCAGCAAAGTCGACCAGCTCAGCAACTAGGGCAGACGCAGCAGCGCACTCAAAGGAAGGGTCAGTGACAAGAGAAGCAAGAAGACGCGTGACAGTAGGACTGGCAGCACGGTGAGAGTCCGACTCCGGGTCGGCAAGTATAGGAAGAGAAGACTGAGGAGGAGAAGGCAAAGGGGCACGCAGAGGAGCAGTGGACGAACGCAGAGACATCTGGTGCGTGCTAGGGACAGGAGGAGGACGCTGACGCGAACCGCGACCACTAGGGCGAGCAGCTCGGACTGGCGACGCAGGGCGGGACGCAGGCTCACGACGCTCAGCACCTCCAGTCTTAGCACCCCGAGGCTCCGTACCCGCAGCAGCACCAGAGTCACCAGTGACCTCGACAAGCTCGACCGCGTCTACCTGAGACACACCTGAAGGGGTAGGACCCTGAGGGGGGAGGGGGTCTACCGGGGGGGGACCTGGGACCAGGAAGAGGGGCGGGGGGGGAAGGGACGGAGTGCGGTAGGGGAAGAGCCGGTAGAAGGGAACCGACTCGTCGAACGTGACGTCCTGGGAGGACAGAACACGACGAGAGGTGGGGTGGTAAAACTGCCACCCACGTGCGTCAGGGGGGAAACCCAGGAAGACGCAAGGAGCAGCACGAGGGGACAGCTTGTCCGCAGACAAGTCGCGGACAAACGCCCGAGATCCCCAGACACGGAATGCCGACGCATCGCCAACCTTCCCCGTCCACAGCAAAGCTGGGGAGGTCTCCGGTCTGGGGACCCTGGGCTGAAGGTTGATCTGATGCGCGGCGTACCGAACCACAAACGGCCACAGAAAATGGGGGGCAGCCGCATGCACCATGGACGTACGGGCGACGTCCATGACAATGCCGATGCGGCGCTCAGCAATCCCATTCTGCTGTGGAGAGTCCGGAAGCGTGAAGGTCTGGCGGATGCCTCGTGCCCCACAGTAGGCTCGCAGAAGGCCAGAGGAGAACTCTCCGCCTCTGTCCGAGTGTAGCCGCAAAACAGGAAAGTCCGAGCCGAAGCTCCGCCTGAGCTGGAGACGAGCTGCGCGGATCCAGTTGATCAACACCCCAGTGACCTCACCCTTGCTGCGCAAGGGGAAGACTGTGGTGTAACGCGAGTAGTCGTCAACCACCAGCAGGAAGTAGCGCTCGTGACCCTGTCCACGGACGCGGGCTGGGCCCCACACGTCCATGTGAAGCGTCTGCATCGGGGCCTCCGTCGGAGGAAACGGGGAGGAGTGAGGGGTAGCCCGCAGGCGACCCTCGACACAGGGGACATAGGGAGGGCCAGGCCTCGGAGGAAGGGGAGGGAGGGACCGGGGAAGGCCAGAGACAAGAAGGCAAGAGGCCATGCCCCGGAGACGAGGCAGGGAGGGGTGACCCATCCTGTGGTGCCACAGGAGGGTCTCGTGGGACAGGAGGCGACACGAGCAGGGGGCAGACTCAGGACCAGACCTGGACGCTGCAACAAACACCTGACCCGACGCAGCTACCTGACCAGACGCAGGAGGAGGAGACGGAACAGTGAGTGTGTACAGGCTCGACCCCGGCCCACGTGTGAACGTGGTCAAGTGTCGACCCGTGTCCGCGTTCGTGCAGTGGGTGTCCCGTCGGCGTGCAGGGGTAAACTGGTCGACCCCTGCATCCTGTAGGTCAGCACCCGCCACCAAGTTCGTAGAGAACGAGGGGAGGTAGAGACCGGACAGGGCGCCAGACGGGACCGCAGGGCATGGCAAGACAGTGGAGTAGCGAGCCAGAACAGGACCCCCAGAGGGGTCCGCCAGGGAGACCGCCACTGGCCGACTAAGCGGCGTGAGTGTGGTGCGGTCTCGAAAGAAGGAGCGAGACGCCCCTGAGTCAAGAGTGAAGGTGAGAGAGGGCAGACTCACTGGCACCTAGAGCGACAGCCTCACCAGCACCTGGAGCAGCAGCCTCAACAGCACGTAGAGCCGCAGTACCAATGCCCGGGTCGGGCGGGAAACACTGGTAACAGTCACCCTCCTCACTGATAGTCACAGCATACATGGCAGCAAGAATAGCATCAAAGTCAAGATCAAAGATAGCTACCCCTGCCCTAGATAGCTGGTCCCGGCGAGGGATCTCAGAGGCGTCAGGAAACTGGCGGCGCCAAGCGTCAGTCAGGCGGCCGAAGCAGCGCTGTGCGGAGTGTGGACCACCACACGGCTCACCCGCACGGTCGCCAGTGCGCAAGACGTAGGTACACGGACCAGTACCCCCACCCCTCTGACGTGCAGCGTACCACTTACGGAGCTGCTGCGGGGAGAGGGTCTCCTGACCACGCTGCTGCCGCAGCTGCTGGCGCTGACCGCCAGCGGAGCCACTCCTCTGCGACGAGCCACGACCTCCTCCGCCGCCTCCTCCGCCGCCGCCGCCACCACCTCCGCTGCCAACGCCACTCCCACCGTCGCTGCCGCCACCGCCGCCTCCGCCTCCACTCCCACCACCACCGCTGCTGCCACCCCCGCCTCCACTGCCGCCGCTGACACCTCCACTCCCGCCACCACTCCCGCTACCACCCCCACCTCCTCCGCTGCCTCCACCGCCGCCTCCACCGCCCCCGCCGCCGCCACCACCGCTCCTGCCCCCCTTGCCCTTGCCAGAGCGACGTCTCCCACTGGGGGCAGACGCCGCACCGACCGACTCAAAACCAACTAGGTCGGCCGTAGCAGCAGAGGCGACAGAGGGCAGGAGGGGGGAGGGGGAACACCCCTCAAAGATGGGGGTGCGCGGGTCACCACGAGAGGCCCCTATAGCGAGAATGCTCTTCTCGGCTGCTAGGAGGGACTTCTCGAGGAGGTCAACAGTGAGAGTGGTGGGGCAGACTGAGAGTAAGTCGTCCCTGACTCCGCGAAGGGAGTCAGGGAGGCGGGTGACAATGTAGTAGAGAGTGAAGTACTGGGGGGGGGGGTTCTTGGCGCAGAACTCAGCAGGAAGCGCAGCGCGGAAGCGAGCGTCACTAGTGCGCAGGTGGGTAATGAGGTCGGCAACTGTGGTAAAAGAAGCAAGGTCGGGAAAGAGGTACGGTAGCATGAGGCGGCTCAGTGCAGCAGTGGCAGGGGTGGAGTAGCGTGCAATAACGGCGTCGTACAAGGTTTGAGCACTCTTGTACGACCCAAAGTGTGCACGCTCAGAGGGAGGGAGGTGGCGACGCACAGCAAGACGTGCAGCAGCATCGCGTGTGGCCCACTGTGAGCGAACAGTGGCATCCTCAGTAGCAGCAAGGGCGGGAGAGGCACCAGAAGTGAGATCAAAGAGAGAGAGGCCGTCAGCTCTGTCGCACTGTAGGAAAAGCAGCAGGTCGTCTACCCACACGTCAAAGTCGATGGCTCTGCCCTCAGCGTCGAAGGTGAGGACACTGGGGGTAGCCATGACAGCAGTAGGGTGAGGGCAGTGCGCAGAGTAAAGCCCATTGCTCACCAGACAGGGCAGTGCAGACGGCTCGGGCGGCTCGGGCGGCTCGGCGGCTCGGCTGCTGGGCGGCTCGGGCGGCTCGGCGGCTCGGGCGGCTCGGGCGGCTCGGCTGCTGGGGCGGCTCGGCTGCTGGGGCGGCTCGGCTGCTGGGGCGGCTCGGTTGCTGGGGCGGCTCGGCTGCTGGGGCGGCGCAGTTGCTGGAGCGGCGGGGCCGGGAGATGCAGCTGCGGGGCCGTTAGGGGTAGTGGCGGGGCCGGTAGGTGAAGCGGCGGGGCCGTCAGGTACAGCAGCGGGGCCGGCAGGTGAGACGGCGGGGCCTGCAGATGAGGCGGCAGGGCCGGCAGGTGCAGCAGCGGGGCCGTCAGGGGTAGCTGTCAGAATGTTATTTGTCTAGCCTGCATTGGGGTGCTCAATACTGAGTACAACCCTTTAGGGTTTTCTATTTGTGTATCCCAACTCTTGCTAGTCACACCTTTTTCCTTCCCTTCCAAATCTCTCGATACTCTCCCCTAGGAGAAACTCACTCGAACTCACCTACCTCCTAGTGTGGGCCTAGGCTACTAAGCCTAGGCCCCACACCTACTATTTTGTCATGGTATCTAGAGCGAGCATGTTCCTGCCGCCTAGCTTAACGGGCCCACCAACGTCTTCCGCTGCCCTACTGTCCGCCGCGCGCCCCGTGGCGCGCGGCTCTGCATTTTCTTCCCGCCACGCGCTCCGAGCGCGTGGCGGCTTTTTTCTGCCCGCCGCGCGCTCGGGGCGCGCGGCGGTTTTCCCGTCCATCGAAGCGCCCTCGGGGGGGCTTGCGCGCTGCCCTCCCCGCTGCTCGTCACGACGCCCGCGCGGGACCCGCGGGGCGTCGCCCCTAGTCGTCGCGACGACCCTACGGGACCCGCGGGGCGTCGCCCCTGCTCGTCGCGACGTCCGTGCGGGACCCGCGGGGCGTCGCCCCTACTCGTCGCGACGCCCCCTGTGGGACCCGCGGGGCGTCGCCCCTGCTCGTCGCGACGCCCCATGCGGGACCCGCGGGGCGCCGTCAGTTCCTGCAGCAGCAGCCGCCGCCGGCCTGCAGCAGCAGACGCCGCCGCCCTGCAGCAGCAGCCGCCGCCAGGCCTGCAGCAACAGACGCCGCCGCCCTGCAGCAGCAGCCGCCGCCAGGCCTGCAGCAGCAGCCGCCGCCAGGGTCTGCAGCAGCAGCCGCCGCCAGAGCCTGCAGCAGTAGCCGCCGCCTGAGCCTGCAGCAGCAGACGCCGCCAGGCATGCAGCAACAGACGCCGCCGCCCTGCAGCAGCAGCCGCCGCCAGGCCTGCAACAACAGACGCCGCCGCCCTGCAGCAGCAGCCGCCGCCAGAGCCTGCAGCAGCAGCCGCCGCCAGAGCCTGCAGCAGCAGCCGCCGCCATAGTCTGCAGCAGCAGCCGCCGCCAGAGCCTGCAGCAGCAGCCACCGCCAGCGCCTGCAGCAGCTGCCGCCCCTGGACCCGGTACGCTCTGTGCTGCCCTGTGCTGCCCGTGCTTGTGCTGCCTGTGCCTGTGCTGCCCGTGCCTGTGCTGCCCGTGCCTGTGCTGCCCGTGCCTGTGCTGCCCGTGCCTGTGCTGCCCGTGCCTGTGCTGCCCGTGCCTGTTGCTCCCCGTGCCTGTGCTGCCCGTGCCTGTGCTGCCCGTGCCTGTTGCTGCCCGTGCCTGTGCTGCCCGTGCCTGTTGCTGCCTGTGCCTGTGCTGCCCGTGCCTGTGCTGCCCGTGCCTGTGCTGCCCGTGCCTGTTGCTGCCCGTGCCTGTGCTGCCCGTGCCTGTGCTGCCCGTGCCTGTGCTGCCCGTGCCTGTTGCTGCCTGTGCCTGTTGCTGCCCGTGCCTGTGCTGCCCGTGCCTGTGCTGCTTGTGCATGTTGCTGCCCGTGCCTGTGCTGCCCGTGCCTGTTGCTGCCCGTGCCTGTGCTGCCCGTGCCTGTGCTGCCCGTGCCTGTGCTGCTCGTGCCTGTGCTGCCCGTGCCTGTGCTGCCCGTGCCTGTGCTGCCCGTGCCTGTGCTGCCCGTGCCTGTGCTACCCGTGCCTGTGCTGCCCGTGCCTGTGCTGCCCGTGCCTGTGCTGCCCGTGCCTGTTGCTGCCCGTGCCTGTGCTGCCCGTGCCTGTTGCTGCCCGTGCCTGTGCTGCCCGTGCCTGTTGCTGCCCGTGCCTGTGCTGCCCGTGCCTGTGCTGCCCGTGCCTGTGCTGCCCGTGCCTGTTGCTGCCCGTGCCTGTGCTGCCCGTGCCTGTGCTGCCCGTGCCTGTGCTGCCCGTGCCTGTTGCTGCCCGTGCCTGTTGCTGCCCGTGCCTGTGCTGCCCGTGCCTGTGCTGCCCGTGCCTGTTGCTGCCCGTGCCTGTGCTGCCCGTGCCTGTTGCTGCCCGTGCCTGTGCTGCCCGTGCCTGTGCTGCCCGTGCCTGTGCCGCTCGTGCCTGTGCTGCCCGTGCCTGTGCTGCCCGTGCCTGTGCTGCCCGTGCCTGTTGCTGCCCGTGCCTGTTGCTGCCCGTGCCTGTGCTGCCCGTGCCTGTGCTGCCCGTGCCTGTTGCTGCCCGTGCCTGTGCTGCCCGTGCCTGTGCTGCCCGTGCCTGTTGCTGCCCGTGCCTGTGCTGCCCGTGCCTGTTGCTGCCCGTGCCTGTGCTGCGCGTGCCTGTGCTGCCCGTGCCTGTGCTGCCCGTGCCTGTGCTGCCCGTGCATGTTGCTGCCCGTGCCTGTGCTGCCCGTGCTTGTTGCTGCCCGTGCCTGTGCTGCCCGTGCCTGTTGCTGCCCGTGCCTGTGCTGCCCGTGCCTGTGCTGCCCGTGCCTGTTGCTGCCCGTGCCTGTGCTGCCCGTGCCTGTGCTGCCCGTGCCTGTTGCTGCCCGTGCCTGTGCTGCTCGTGCCTGTTGCTGCGCGTGCCTGTGCTGCCCATGCCTGTGCTGCCCGTGCCTGTGCTGCCCGTGCCTGTGCTGCCCGTGCCTGTTGCTGCCCGTGCCTGTGCTGCCCGTGCCTGTGCTGCCCGTGCTTGTTGCTGCCCGTGCCTAGTGCGCTCTGCTACTGTCTGCGCCCCCGTTTCCGGGTATGGGGGTGGCTGGTGTGCATTCCTCCCTTTCCTCCTCCTCCTTCGTCTCCCACTGCTGCAGCTGTCGCTGAGGGGGGTGGTTGTGTGGGAGACTCGGGTTTAGGGTTTAAGGGGGGTGCGTGGGAGTGGAGCTAGCGGTGTAGCAGCGGGTGTGTGTCAGGGGGGGTGGGACTGTTTGGGGAAGCTGCATGGAAGTTGCCGTCCTGTAGTACGCAGCACCTGTAGTCCGGGGCGCTGTCCCGGTAGCCCAGTGAGCTAGACTTCTACGCCAGCCGCCCGTGGGTCCGTTGCCCGTCTGCCGCTGCTTGAGCCGCGGGGCCTGTTACTCCTGTAGTCCGGGCGCTGTCCGGTAGCCGCTGTGCCAGTCTGCCTCCTGTTGCCCGTGTGTCTGCAGCTTCAGCCGTCTCCTCCTATCTCCTCTCCCCTCACTCTCTCTCCTCCTCCTCACTTGCCCGTTGTGACTACCACTAGCTTTGCTCATAATTCTTAACTTTAAACTATTGCTTCTTTAACTTGTGCTCAGAATGTGTGGTGACATTGTGATCCACCCTGAGCTTGTACTACTTTGCCTGCTCTGCTGATTACACCCCACTTTGGCTATGGGGGTGTGTCAGAATGTTATTTGTCTAGCCTGCATTGGGGTGCTCAATACTGAGTACAACCCTTAAGGGTTTTCTATTTGTGTATCCCAACTCTTGCTAGTCACACCTTTTTCCTTCCCTTCCAAATCTCTCGATACTCTCCCCTAGGAGAAACTCACTCGAACTCACCTACCTCCTAGTCTGGGCCTAGGCTACTAAGCCTAGGCCCCACACCTACTATTTTGTCAGTAGCGGCGGGGCCGGTAGATGCAGTGGCGGGGCCGTAAGAGGGGACGGCGGGGCCGTTAGGTGCAGCGGCGGGGCCGTCAGAGGGGACGGCGGGGCCGTCAGGTGCAGCGGCGGGGCCGTCTGAAGCAGCGGCGGGGCCGGCAGAGGGGACAGCGGGGCCGTCGGGTGCAGCGGCGGGGCCGGCAGAGGGGACGGCGGGGCCGTCAAGTGCAGCGGCGGGGCCGGCAGAGGGGACGGCGGGGCCATCAAGTGCAGTGGAGGGGCCGGTAAAGGGGACGGCGGGGCCGTCGCAGGCGATCGCGGGGCCGTCAGAGACGGCGCCGGCGTCGCGAGGGTCAGAGGGGGCGGCGCGCGACTGGAGAGCGGCACGCGCGACGCGGCGCGGCCGTCTAGGGGCGGCGCGAGGAGGCCGCGTAGGTGGCGCGCAAAAAAAAATCGCGGGCGGCTCGACGCGATCGGGCCGCCAAAGGAAAAAAAAAAGGCCAAGCGCGACTCGGGCTAGGGCAGAGCAAGCTCCGGGCAGGACGGAATAGTAGGTGGGCCCTAGGAACAGTTCCCACTAGGGAACCTGCTCGATACCATGTTGAGATAGAGGCGAGGAATGGGTGCACTATGAAATGAAACAAGTACAAGTACCAACCCTAATTGGGTTGTACCCCCTATAGGCTACCCCACTACAGCCTAAATATATGCATCAGTAATAAAATCATCTGACACCTAATTGGGTTGTACTCGCTATAGAGTACCCCATTGCAGGCTAGACAATTATAGCATTCTGACAGTATTTACTTAGAAATAGTAATTATACATATATATACATATATATATATATATATTTGTACGCATGAAAATATTTGGAGTATTTCCAAGGAACAATTTGGAGAATGGTGATTTTGTTGCGATTGTTAATATGCAATTTTTCTACCTCCATCTACTTTATTGCTGTTTCTTAGGCCACTCAGGCCAACACAGCTGATATATTCACCAAGGCACTTCCGCCTGGTGATAATCGGCGCCTTTGTACGTTGTTGGGCCTTGTGCGTACGTTTCCTCACTTGCTGTAGGATCTGCCTGTACTATGATATATATATATTTACATATATATATATATACCTGCATGCTTACTCTTGGTAGGTAAAGATCACTGTGCTGTTGTTGTTGTATATATACCTCTGCATGTGAACTGGCCTTGTGGCTCTTTGCTTGTGTTCAGTATATGTGGTGACGTTGTGATCCACCCTGAGCTTGCTTTGCTTCTCTTGACTGGTCTGGTGACCCCTTGCTCTCCCCCACTTTGCCTATGGGGGTGTGTCAAATTATTGTGAAAGAACGAGGAATGAATGCACTAGGAAACAGGTGGGTACAAGTAGGAAAACCTAAAAGTGTTGTACCCCATATTATCTACCCCACTATAGCCTACACAGACTACAGCATATAAGTTTGACACACCCCCATAGGCAAAGTGGGGAGAACAAAAGGTCACAAGACCAATCAAGCAAAGCACAGTAAGCTCAGGGTGGATCACAACGTCACCACACATTCCGAGCACAAGTTCAGGGCCACAAGGCCAGTTCACATGCAAGATTATATATAAAGGTAAACAAGCAAGTGCAGGTATAGACAGATCACAGTACAAGCAAGGTCAAGAAGTGAGCAAGTGAGGCCAAGTAGGCACAAGACCCAACATCGTACAAAAACGCTGATGATCACAAGGCGGAAGTGCCTTGGTAAAGATATCAGCAGTGTTGGCCTGAGAGGCCACGTAAGCAAGGCGCAGCTGACCACGCTGCTACAGCTCACAAGCAAGGAAGTAGCAAAGAGCAATGTGCTTCGTTCTGTGCTCCAGTCTGTGCTCCCGACACAAGGCCAGCATGGCCTTGTTGTCTACGTACAGAACTGGAGGAGAACAAGGCGGCTCTCCTAGGTCCGTCAGCAGGTAGGTGAGCCAGCGTAGGTCCTTTGCAACCAAGCCCCTGCCTAGATCTCAGCCTCACAGCTGAAGCCGAGAACAGAAGACAAGCGGGTAGACCGCCACGAAACACAGCCGGAACCAAGACTGAAGGTGTAACCCTGTGACGACCGCTGCGTAGCCTGGTCGTCAGCCCAAGAAGTGTCTGCGTGACCAGTGAGGACCACTGGACGTCGCCCTCCAAGCATGAGCCCCATGCCCGACGTACTGCACAAGTAGCACAACACCCTCTTCGCTGCAGCCATGTGCTCAGGTCTGTGTCTCCCAGGAGCAAGATCGCGTGCCAAGATGCTAAGAGGGTATGCAAGGTCAGGTCGAGTGCAGGTCATCAGGTACATGAGGCAGCCAACAGGTTCTAGGTACGGGCCACTCGGCTCTACGGACTCATCCGAAGGCAGAGCTGAGAGCGAGTGGCGAGTAGACAGAGGAGTGGCCTGAGGCAAGGAGTACGTGAAGTCGAAGCGCTGAAGGACCTGCTGCACCATGTGTGACTGAGTCAGGGTAATGGTGCGCTGTGCTCTGTCCCTAGTGATGTGCAAGCCAATGTAGCTGCGCAGTTCACCCAGGTCTGTGCATGTGTGCCTCTTCTACAACTCGGACTTCACGTGGGCGAGTCCAGCAGTGTCAGCAGTAGCAAGGACCAAGTCGTCGACGTACACGAGGATGTAGAACGGCGGCAAAGAGGTGTCGGTGCGTAGAAACAGCGACGGGGCGGCAGTAGAAGGAGCAAACCCAAGAGCCGCAAGTGTAGTCCTCAGTGTGTCGTGCCACTCACGGGGCGCCTGGCGGAGACCGTAGACTGGCCGCCGGAGGCTCCACTGGGTACCAGGAGGAAACGACCCAGTGAAGCCAAGCGGGCGGCACAGCCAGATCTCCTCGTGCAGGCTGCCCTTTAGGAAGGCAGTGCTGAAGCTCGTAGTCGCGCTGAGCGGCTATGTGCAGCAGCACACGAAGAGTGGTCATCTTCGAGGTGGGAGAGAAGGTCTGAAAGTAGTCAACTCCCTGCCGCTGACTGAAGCCTCAAGCCACGTAACGCGCCTTGAAGACAGGCGGAGAACCCGGCGGCCGCTTCACCCTGAAAATCCACATGCCACTAACAATGTTCGCCCCAGGTGGGGGAACCTCGTCGACGTAGGTGCCTGTGGACTTCCAGGAAGCCATCTCTGCGTCCATGGCTGACTTCCACTGAGAGGAGTAGGGACCCTCTATCGCCTCTGCGTAAGAGCGCGGAGTCGGGATGTCTGGTGCATCCGGATCTCCCTCAGGGGCAATCAGCATGGACACGAGATGAGGCAAAGGAGCAGCAAAACATTGGAAATTTTCCTGCCTGTCCTCAAGGACGTCCGTGCTAAGGGCACACTCACCCCTGACGGATGGAGGACAGACAGACTCAGACTCAGCAACAAGACTAGCGGCGTAGTCTAGACGACAGTGAGCAGCAAAGTCGACAAGCTCTGCAACTAGGGCACACGCAGCAGTGGACTCAAAGGAAGGGTCAGTGACAACAGTAGCCAGAAGACGCGTGACAGTAGGACTGGCAGCATGAAGACCAGCGGAAGGAGGGAGACGAAGAACTTGCTCAAGGAGCGGAACGAAGTACGGCCGCGGCCGCGTAGCGCCTCCAGAACCAGCAGGGACAGCACCAGCGCGCCCAGCGTCAGCATCTGCGCCAGCAGCACCCCTAGCTGCAGCATCCCCAACTCCAGCACCCTTAGAAGCACCAGCGCTAGCACCCCCAGCAGCTCGAGCTCCAGCCGGACCACCGGAAGACTCAACAGCCACAGCTCCAGTACCTCCAGCAGCACCTGCTCCAGAAGCACAGCCAGTAGCTCTAGCACTGCCAGCAGCTCCAGCAAAAGGAGCACCACTAGGCCGAGCAGCTCCAGTACCTCCAGTACGAGCACCTCCGAGACCTGTGGCACGATCACCCTCAGTAGCAGCAGAACCTCCAGCGCCAGTAGCAGGGCTCCAGCGCCGAGCAAACCACTCGCGCAGCTCCTGTGGAGAGGGTAGCTCCCGCCGGGACGAAGCACCCGAGGGACTTCCAGACCCAGTACCGCCAGACTCCACACGAGCAGGCCCAGCACCTTTAGGCTCCGCACCCCCAAGCGCAGCACCCCCAGACTCAGCACCCCCAGGCTCAGCACCCCCAGTCTCAGCACCCGCAGACTTAGCACCCCTAGTAGCACTAGAGTCAACAGCTACCTCGACAGTCTCGACCGCGTCTACCTAGGACACACCTGAGGGGGCAGGACCCTAAAGGGGAAGGGGG